TTTTTTTTTAACCTTTTCTGCTTCTTACAAATAAGTGGAAATGTACAGTAGAGAACATACTTTAAACTCTAAAGCTACTATATTCAGAAATGCCTTCATGGACATTTAATCTAGATACCCGCTTTCATCCTAGATGTAGGGAAAGGCTGGAGTTAAAAAAGTCCCTATGTTGCTCTGCAGCAAACAGTTGTCTTCTTAAAACTGCAAATTTAGGAAAATGCCAACACCTTAAATAAAATTCTAGGAGTCTCTTGTGGCTTGTCAGGCACAATAATAACTACAGGTTCCAATGGATAAGAGTTAAATATCAGTAAAAAATGAATGTGGTGGCTCCCATTCATTCATAGTATTTTCAGTCTCCAAGAGGAAAAACGATTCTGAGTGCGCCTCTGCCCTGCTCATCTCCAGGTGCTGTGGCCTCTTCCATGCCCATACAGTGAAATGGCACCTGGTGACCTGGAGGTGTCCCAACTACTCGGTGAGTGGACTTGAAGTTTTAACACCTGACACTCATGTACTTGTATTATTAGTGCAGGAAAATCTGAGTTTCAGGGGAAAAAGAGGGGTTGAAGGTGAGGCTGGTGGTAGTGACTGATGAGACTCTTCCACTAGTAGAACAGTTACATTTTAAAGAAATTCACTTTGAAAACAGAATTTGCCACAGTAAGGAACTATTTTCCTTGAAGTTTGGTTTATTTATTTACTTTTTTGGTACAGGGGATTGAACTCAGGACCTTGTGCTTTCAAGGTAGGCGGCGTCACCACTGAACTAAATCCTCAGCCCTTTCTGTGAATTTTGTATTTCCTATTTCCTATCTGTTTTTCTTTCCTGAGGAACTTGTATGATGCTTGGTACTCAGTAAGTGCTCAGTTAGTCCCCCCTGCTGCTCCAACACACTGGGGATCAAACTCAAAATCCTCTATCACTGAGAACAACCCCACCTCTTTGCTCTTTTTGACAGAGTCTCACTGAGTTGCCCAAGCTGGCCTTGAACTTCTAATCCTCCTGCCACAGCCTCCAAAGCAGCTGAAATTACAGGCATTGGGACTAAACCCAAGGCCTTGCACATGGTAGGTAACTGCTCTACCACTGAGCTACTACACCAGCTCTTTGTTTTTAAAAATTGTCATTTCTGGAAGGTCACTGCGAACTCCTTAGAAAACCAATTCTGGTGCAAAGGTAAACTGCAGCTGTGCACTGTGATGAACTCTAGAGTGGTTCAGAGTAAGTGTAAGTTTTACTATAAATATCAAGCCAAAAAAGTCCCAGTTTCAGCATACTATTATTAATGCTTTCACATCTATTTTGAGGGATACAGAGTAGAAGTTTTTGTTGGTGTTCTGAGGGGAAAGCTGGAAGGCAAATTCAAACCATGCCACACATACATTTAATAAACTCACTGGAAGAGTCAGAAAGAGCAGTTTTACATCGTCACAGAGTTGTTTCTCAACCATGTAAGGGTAAAAAAAAAAAAAAGGAATTCCTGGATATTTTTGGGCAAGATGAAATTTTGAAACTCAAAACCTCTCAGCATGAAGCTGTAGGTAGGTGACTTTAATGTCTTTCTTAAATCAACCCTATAAAACTTAAAGTAGATTTGAGCTGCATTTATAGTTGTCCTCATGCTAACACTGGCTAAAGAAATATTAGCAATGGTCAAAAACAATTTGGAAGAATCCAGCTTTCAATTGTGACTATATAAAATATGAAAAAGATTACGACAAACCAACATATTTAAGAAGCAGTATTTAATTGCTGGAGACTTAATGCTTAAATCATACATAATATAGCATATTCAAAATGTTCAGAGGAATGAACTATAGGTAAGAGAAAAAAACAAAGAAAAAAAACAGAAAAAAAAAAAAAGAAAAGAAAAGAAAAACAGAGCTTAGAGAGGACAGAAAACTCCCCGTAGAAATCAAGTGGTGCATGTCAGATAAGTAAATGCCTTCATTCTGGGGTAGATAGAGTCTTGCCCAGCATGCACCATGTATAATGCACTGGATTCAGTCCCCAGAACCTCAACACACACACACACACACACACACACACACACACACACACTGTATACATGCATGCAATAGGGGGAACACTTTATGTTGAATCTACAAGTGCTCCTTTGTGCAGTGAAGCTTCCATCTGATAAAACAATCAAATTATACACTTTGTTGTCATTGTGCTAAGCATACGATACTCTGGATCCTGGAGGCAAAGGAAAAAGGGAAATCAGATTTCAGGTGGGAGCAATGAACTTCAGTTTTGAGCAATATGAAGTTGAATTTAAATTATGGAAACATGTTAGAAAGAGATAAGATAATCTTAAATGCCTTGTCAGAGTCTGTAAATGTTGTTTCAAAAATAATTTAAAATTTAAGCTTTGATTTTTCCAGTCTAACTATTAAACAGATCTTTTTATTGCCAAAAAAGCTAGTGGGGGGGTACAAACAGAAAACGGAACGATCTTTATCATCATAGTTGGCAAAATGATTCTTTTTATGCTTCTTTTTTACTAAGAACAAAATGTTATCAGCAAGGTGAACAGCTTTTGAATTGAGATGTGAAACTTGGAAATTGCTCCTAGTTGAAGTTTTCAATCTAAAACAGTCATCCATAGCTAAAATTTCACAGAAAATAAAAAGTTATTACACTTTTAAATATGTATGTATATCCAGGGAGCACTGTAGCTTAAAATACAATTTTAACTCATCATCTATCTCTATTTTTCAAATTGGTGATATTTGCTGGTCTTTTAATGGGCCAGAAGATTATATAATTATCCTTTCAGAGGTCTACCTCACAGTGGAGTTTGCAGCTGAAATACTGACAAATGTAAGGCCTCTTTCATTATCGTTAAGAATTCATAACTTAGGCATTCATGAAGAAATGTTCTGATAAAAGGGCCTCAAAAATTTAAAAAGGAATAAAAATTAAAACTGAAAGATCATAAAATTGGCCTCTGTCATACTCTTAATTGAAATAAATAGGACACACTTGAGTAAATACCAAATAGTTTCTCTGATGTGAAAAACTGAAAGGGTAAATAAGGTTCAAATGGTATAACTGATAGTGTGAAAGAGAAAGAAAATGTCTAAAGGAGAAGGGAAAGTGGGAAAGGTAAGGGAAAGGAAATAAGGGAAAAGAAAAAATACGAAAAAAGGAAAAAATGGAAACAAAGTCTTTGTAAAGAGGGAGGGGTAAACAGGGTGAAGGAAGGGCAGGGGAGTGGGGAAAATACAAGAATCAAGATACATCATGCAAAGGCACAAGATCCCAATGATGAATGTTACTTTTACCTTAAATGTACCAATAAACAATGAAAAAAAAAGATACAAAATTGGCCTCTGATGCCTTAACCATAGTGTAACATGTTCTGAATGTGGGGTTTTACTCTTCTTTAAAATAAAGCTCACAAATTAGAATACTCATATTTGTAACTTTAACAGCAAATCCATTCCTCTACAGTGATGAAGTTAAATTCTGTAACTTAAAATTTCTCTTTAACTCTTGCTATATTTCATTTTGCATTCAGTCGATTAGTGTATGACATTCTGAGATCTAAAGTATGGGTTCTCTTCAACTTTGAATTTGAATCCTCCTGTCAGTTTACATCCACACATTATTAAGAGAGGCAACTTGGAGACTCTGCTTTGGCGTCAGGCATACTTGGGCTGGAATTCCAACCTGACCACGTAGTTGTACTCCTTATCCATGGGGAATACATCCTGAGACCCCTGGGAGGATTCCTGAAGTTGAGAACAGTGGCAAACAAACCCTCTGTTTTCCCTATTATATAGTCATGTATCACTTAACAATAATGACACATTCTGAGAATGTGTCATTAGGTGATTCTGCTATTGTGCAAACATTATACAGTATGCTTGCATAGGCCTGGGTAGCCTGGGCCAAGCACTTGATGTGGACTCTTGATGTAATCAAGAGATCTGATAAACCTGCCACTGCCAGAGGTATACTGGCACACATGGCATACTGTCTTACAGGTAATTTTTTGTTATAAGTAGAAGGTGTACACTTGAAAACAACAAATAACATGGCTATTTATTACCATGATCAAGTATTATGTGCTCTATGTAATTGAAGTCCTACACTTTTATGTGACCGGAGGCACAGTGGGTTTGTTTACACCAGAATCACCACAAACACCTAACCAATGTATTGCACTGTAATGCTAGAACAGCTACTGTAACACTGAAGATAGATATTTCAAATCATTATAATCTTACATGACCACAGTTATACATGTGGTCAGTCACTGACCAAACCATTGTTATGGGGTGCATGGCTGCAAATAGGAACATAATACCCATGAAAAAATGTAATTTATAAATTAGGTGCAATAAGAGATTAATAATAACTAGTACTAGAATAGTTATAGCAATATGCTATAATAAAAGTGATTTAAGATTTATGAATTTTCCATTTAATATTTTTGGACCTCAATGGACTGTGGGTAACTGAACCTGTGGAGAGGGAATCTGGATAAGGTGGGATTGCTACATCAGACTCATGAATCTGTGAACAAGTGTCTGCGTTATCTGTGGTATCCATGAATAGGTGTTCCACAGAGATAAGCTGGTAGGTATTGATTAAAATGGGTGTAAGATGTTTGTAAAGAATTCAGAGCAGTGTCAAGCATATAATTGACTCATGTTAGGTTTTGTAGAAGGGGCTCCTTGTAGTTTGAGGTAAGGGTACCACATCAGGTGCAAAATAATATACATAGATAAGAATGCTCCACCTAAGAAAAGGCTGTTTAGTAGTCTCTATCAGACTTGACAGCTTTAATAAGAAAGGACCGTCTGAAATCCTGGGATGCTCTACCACACATCAAATTTTTTCATAATTATTCTTTTTTGTTTTAACTCTACCTAATCGCTTACAAAAAGCCTTATAACACAGACATAAGAACACTGTTATCCTAATTTATAAAGCAATTAATATATTTTCATTGAAGCATGTAGTCAGGTATTTTACTTCTTACCTTTTCAATTTTTTCATCCAGCATTCTGAAGAATTCTTGTTGGCTTTCAGAGATGTGCATGCTGAAAAACAAAGAGTAGTTAAGTATATATTTCAATGCTTCCTTAACCCTAACTCCCTCAAATGAAACATGTGAGCCCTTAAACTCTGGGGCATTTATTTATTATAGGTTTTTCCACTGAAATACTTTAAGATTATAATAGAGATGTATGTCATTACAGTAATCCTGCAAGTGTGTTTTACACTAATCTACCAGTAACTATGATTTAAGGGATACAATTTCCTTTCAATGTACAGATGTTGTTTATAGCAATGTTAACTAGGAGGTACATGCCAATTGTTTTCTTCATAATACATTCATAATTTAAAAAGAAATAGAGCAAGGGCAAGCAGCACATGGTATCTTTCAACTGTGTAAATAAAATTTATCCTAGTTATACTGAAATGTGTATTTTACAGAGGTTGTCAGTATCAGCGAGATATCCAGCTGATGTATAGGTGTGGGATGGAGAGAAACAGGCTGGGAACACAGTGATTGCCTGACACTGTCCCTGATCACTTTCTACAGTTGTGGCAGCGAATATGCTTTTGTGGGACTGAAATTCCACTGGAATGTGCAGACTAACTCAGAGGGGATGTCTGAGTAGCACCTGCCCTATGTGTTGGCTTTTCTTACGCCCTTTAACAGCTTGCTCAGGAAGATTTTGACATGTTTGGTGGGGACAAAATATCAGAAGACAAGATGAGAAGAGAAAAATCACAAAGGAGAAGGAGGTGGGCGGTATGAGCCTTAGTGGTAACACGTCTATTGTTTCTACTGAGCAAAGAGTTGTGGGTGATCCTACGAGATTAAGGATGCTGGGTAAGAGACACACATGCCACATTTGTTTCTGTTCCTACTAGTACTTATTGGTTGTAGGGTCTGGTGTGGGGGTGGAGAGTAAATGCTAGAATGGTTTCTTCCCTTCAAGCTCGGTGTGGGGGGAAGCTCATCCAATGCGCCCTTAGCATAATGCCGCACACATCAGGGGCCATGTGAAGTGGTACAAGTGACCCCAAACCCTTCAAGCCTCCCTTGGCAAATAGCAGGGCTCAGAGAACATTCTCCCTTGATTTTAAACCAAGATTTAAAATCTGTGAGCATCAGCTTTATTATAAAAGGAAAACAATGCAATATCTGATACCATTAATCATTTCACACTTTACAAATTAATTTCACACATCATTTAATTTTGCCACCCTTTATATATCAGTTCAAATAAGGTAAATGTTCTGTGGGGAAAGGGTGTGTTTCCTATGCAGGTTTGAGAGGAAGAGTAGAATCTAGGATGAGGATACATTACACAATCTCTCTGTAGAATCTTAGGCAGAAAAGCTATTTTATGTACAGTTTTTTGATTCTGCAAAGTTTTACTTGCTAAACAGCTTTTATTTGGATGCAAACCTACCTAAATCACATACTTTTTTTTGTTGTTGTTGTTATTGGGGATTGAACTTGGGACCTTGTGCTTGGGAGGCAGGCAGTGGCACCACAGAGCTAAATCCCAGTCCAATTACATACACTTTTTTTTTGTTTCTGTTTTTGTTTTTTTGGTACTGGGGATCGAACTCAGGTCCTTGTGCTTGCAAGGCAGGTGGAGGAACCACTGAGCTAAATCCCTGGCCCTACATACACTTTTAATAGAGGATCTGCTACAAACATTTCTCAATTTTCACTTACTGACTAGGATCCACTCCCTTGTTCTCAGATTGTAATACTCTGCAATATGGAGCTACCCAGAGACACTCATATGGGGTGTAGGCCTCCCTATTAGCAAAATGGTCCGCAACCCAGTGCTCAGCCTGCTGTGTGGTTCTTCTCACATCTCTTCTTGTCAGAGTGGTGTCCGTTTTCCTCCAGCTTTCCTCTCAGCTGCTGCCTCTGCTCCATGCTTGGAAATGCACAGCAAGGTTTGCCTGCTATGTCTGAAGTTCAGGTAACAGGGTATAGAGGAGCTGGGGGCTTCCCTATGAGTCTGAGCATGAATCTGCTGGCCTCTTGGTTGGCTGCCCAGGTTCCCCTTGGGCACCCTTCCTGCTTTTAGCCAAGCTCTCAAAGGATGAGGCTGCCAGACAGCTGTAGGTCCCAGATAGTAAAGGCATTAAAATATACTGGAGAGCGAATCCAGGGCCTTGCATATGTTAGCCAAGCACTGTATCTCTGAGAACATCCCCGGCCCTTTTCATTTTATTTTGAGACAGGGTTTCACTAAGGATAGCTTTGAACTTGTCCTCCTGCTTCAGCTTCCCCAAGTAGCTAAGACTGCAGATATGCACCACTACACCTAGAAAAATATCTTGTTATAGATAACTAGATAGATGTATAATCATGTGTATATGTAGCTTCCCTAGGAAATTCCATGAGATTTCACCAAAATGGCATTTTTAGTTCTTTGTGTTCATGGTAGAAACTTTCTGCTGGTATTCTTAGCATATATCGCCTTGTACACAATAGGAAGGCAAGAAATATTTGTTAAATACATGACAAAGTGATATCTTCATATGGTTCATTGGCCCTCACAGTGTCAGCACACATTAGCGTGGGTGAGGTGTGGAGCCTCAGATTCTCCATCTAACCGGTGAAATGGTCTCTAAGATTCCTCCTATCATTCACAGTCTATACTTGCTACCAACTTCCATTTGCTCCTTCATTTAATGGTCACAATATGAAAATAGAAATGTTTGGTTAGCACTCATGCCTGTGCACAGCAGAGGGACAGGGAGAGATGTCTTAATGCTGCAATTGTGTCTGCCATCTCTGAGATCACGATGCATTTAGTGGAGACTCAGGAGTCTGAATTGGGAGCTGGAGACTGAGCATGAAAGCCAGGACCTCAGGATGCAGGCCTCATGTTGTACAAGCACAAAAACCTTGGTGGTGTCAGTTTTGTGTTGACCCACTGATACAGAAATGCTGCTTACTTTCTCTTTGTCTAAGAGCATTAAGATATGCTTGTCTGCCTCTGCCTCAGTTGGTGAGTGACCAAGGAGAGTCACACGCCAGACTGATTCACTCTCTTGCTACGCTGAAATGCAGTACACTCACTCTGTTAGACAAGACTGATTGAGCGGAGGCAGAATTGTTATTATCAAAACTGTGTGCAGTAGACAAGCTCTTTCGGATAAACTCTTCTGTCCCCACAAGACTGGCAGACACTGCATCCTAGTTCTCTGTGTATCATCTCAGGAATGGTGTGATCTGAAAGCACAAGGCTTACTCAGCTGGTCTCCGTAGGCTCATTCCAGAAGGAAGAACACAACAAACTATGCTAAATTCACCGATTTGTGCTTGGATAAACAGCGTCCCTCCTTCCATGAGGACATCTATCACTAGAGCAGCACCAATATAAGTATTTACCTTAAGAGTACAAAATACACGGTGAAGACCAGCTGCAGGGTAACAACTCTATTTTCAGATTCTTTCCAGGGCACAGCTGCTGATTGTGAGTAGGAAAGAGGTGAGGAGGAAAAGCTCACGGGCTTCCCCATCTTCACTCAAGCTACAAAAAAGGACTATTTAACTGTTTATGACTTAAATTTATATGGTATCGACAGCTGGTACTAAGATTATTTAGATGTGAAAGTCTTTTTACGAAGATTTATGTGTTGGTACCTGATTTAATGAATAAAGTTCAGCAGTTTCGGTAATTCCTATTTCTCTCTTATATCTAAAACTCAACCTTGCACTCTTGGGGCTCCAGCCAGTGCTACAGAGCTCTGTGAGCTCACCCTGTGCCATCGCAGCCCCTTCCCCCCAGCATCACGGGACTAGGGATGACGGCACTAAGGAATCTTAATGAAAAGGAACCATATTAACGAGTGGTGGGCAAAATGGGCTTCAAAGTTAAACGATAAATGACTTTCATTTTTAGCAAATAATAATAATAAATTAAATAATAAAAAATTCCAAGTAATAAAACCCAAGTTACAAGTCTGAAAAAGATGACGTGAACGTGGGAGGGAGAATATTATTAGACAAGAGGAAGGGACTAAGGGGGAGGGGATGTAAGGGAGAGTAACGGGAGAATGGGGTGTGATCAAAATTATATGTATGCATGCATGAAAAGACCACATTCAAAACCAATAGTTATAAAATTAAGCAGCACTAATAAAACTATATTTAAAAAATTAATGTCATTGAAAAAAGATGAGGCGGTAAGGTTCTAATTTCCTAAATCCTTAAGCAAAATATGCCACTTTGGCACACTGATTATTTTGAGCCAAAGGCACCTGAAAAACAGCAGACAAGGGGTACTCTGACCTCCCTTTTTCTTCCTGAAAGCAAGAGATAAAGTTCTTACCTGGAAGATGCTCTCTTTATACTAGGAGAAAAGCGATACTCTTACCATTGGAGATGGGGAGCCAAAGCCAAGAGAATTCTGTACAGACCTTGTCAAAGTAACTATTACCAGTCTTTGGTCACCTCTCATATTTCAGGCATTCTTCTACAATTGCCTTTCTTTGTTCAACCTAGTATATAAGTGTTTAGTTCTTGCTGCTTTTTTGTTTGGATCTTAATTATCCTAAGGGGGGATTCCATGTACATATAAACATCTTTATGCCTTTCTCCTGCTAATTTGTTTTATAAAAATTTAATCCTCAGGTCCAGCTGGAAACCTTGAGATGACTAAGATAAATTTTTGCCTCTCTTACACCTACAAACATGAAATTCAATTACCCAGTAGATTCCTGGTAACCTTGGCCTGAATAGTTATTCCTTTATTATCATCGTTTTTCAACAGGAGCTCAGGGAAATAGATTCTCTTTATTTCATGACAGATTTCTATTTACTTTTATTGATTTAGCTCATTATGTTGATTTCATAAAATAATACAAGCACCCTTGAAACAAAAAAACAAACAAAAAACTAGAACCTTGACTAACTATAGACGCAGCTATAGTGGACTGTAGGTTAGTTCCTGACCTTGTGTCTTCCCTTCACTCCAATGTGACCACTGCTTCTTCATGTGTTTTTCACTGCATTTTATGTGTGATTTAAAACAGCCAATTATCCATGGCAGTGGATTCTAACTTTACAAGGAAAGCATCATGGTCTATATATCCATCAGGAATCACTTTTCTTCTAATATTCTATTGCTAGGGCCCACCCAGGAGTGTGCATAGAGCATTCTATTAAGCTGAGAACAAGTATCCTATCTGTCGTGTGCAGTTCATTTATCTGACCTGTTAAATGACATTTCAGTTTTTCTAAACTGTTAAGCCATTCTTACCAAGTGCCAGCAATGTCATAAGCGCTGGACATACAGTATTTCATTTGATTCCAGGACTTGTGTGACAGGATTTTTCAGTTCCATTTTTCTCTAAGAAAACTGAAACCCAAAGACATTAGGTCACCTGCTTGAGAGCACAAGGCTACTAAGTGTAGCAATAAATAAATGAAGGCATGAAGGTTAACTATCTTTATTGGATGGGATTGGCCTTCCACCTGTGGGACAAAAAAACCCAATTTATTCATTCATTCATGAGATCAAGCCCAGTGCCTTGAGCATGCTAGGGATGAACTCTACACACTTCCAGCTCTCTCTCATTTTATGTATCTGCCTAATAAATGATGGCTTTATTTTACACGTCAGCAGCGGAAAAAGTATAATATCCTTTGACCACCCCCAAGAAAGACTTCTTAAATTGCAGGCACTCAATATTAGTATTCTCATATTTTGTTTAAAACACACACACACACACACACACACACACACACACACACACACGCACATGCATGTGTGCGCTCCACTATGTGAAAAAAGGTTTTCTTCATCATTTTAGGGTAAACACATGAGTCCATTTAATAAACTCCTCCATGAACTGTAGCACTTGCCAGTCTGCCAAGTGTGCTGCTTCTTGGTTTCAAGGTTAAGTAAGTGTTCTCTCTAACAGGACAGAAAGATTCTCCTCCATTCAATCTCTCCATGTAAGTCAGACAGGAGGGAAGCACTTGAACACTGTGTATTTCGGAGGGCACGGGTGAAAAGGTGATTCGGCTGTCTTATCAGACACTGTCCCCACAGGCAGCCCAAGTGCATAAAGTGACTAGCAGGGAGGTCATGGTTATGGGACAAAACTGACCTGAGGGGGAAATAATTCGTTGCATCATTACACTGACATTGTAAACCATAAGTCGATTTTAAGGTGTTCAGATTTTTGCAAGTGAAAATTAAATTACTGGGCCCTTCCCTAGCCCTGGAGGTACCCTGACTGCTGCAGCATGGCGGCCATTGCTGCTGTCATCCACAGACATTGAGCCAGTTAAAGTGATTATGAACTAGGTTGTTTTTAAGAAGCTTTCTAAGAAGGCCCATAGATAATACAACTTCTGCTTATGATCTCTGATTTATGGAGTTCTTATATACATGAAATAGTCAGATTTATTTTGGGGTTTCAAATGTACCTGTGCCACTGGTATCATCAGGGAATTTGTTTAAATTGAGCACACCACAATAGAGATGGCCTCTCAAAAAACAGAGCCTTTTTTTTTGGTTTGGTGGCACTGAGGATTGGACCCACAGCCTTCATATTGACTACATTCATAGCTCTTTTTATTTTAAGACAGGATTTTCCTACATTGCCCAGGTGGTACTTACACTTGTAATCCTCCTGCCTCACCACCCCAGTGTGTTGGGATTACAGACTCACACCACCATACCCAGCTAACAGAACTTCTTTTGAGGTGGGAGGCTAATTTCACGGTTTCAAAGTGTGCCTGGAATGGTGGTGCACACCTGTAATCCCAGCATTTGGGAGGCCGAGGCAGAATTAAGTCTGGCTGACTCACTCACCTCATTTGGGAGGCCAGTTTGGACTACACAGACTTTGTCTCAAAAAAAACAAAAAAACAAGTGGCATGGTTTCAAAGTACATTTTATTGCCAATGTAGAAACAGTTCTAGAACAATCTAGAAAACCACTCATTATTCACTTTAACTTTAAAAAATGTATTCACTATTTTATAAAACATTTATGGATGGTTGTTTATGGGTAAGCCACATATTTTCAAGTACTTGCTCCATTGAGGAAATGTAGTAGGCACTCTATACATCCTTATGTAATATAATCTGTTTTTCAAAAGGGTTTTTTTTCTTTAAAAATCATTAAGATTCTAAAATTTTGAAATACATAACACATAGAAAACATAACGTGATTTGCACATTTTTGAATGATAATGAAAGGAACTCCCATATAATTAGCACCTGCATTGAGAAACAAAGCTCCAGTTCCATAGTCTTACAATCTGTCAGACAAAACCTTATCGTAAACTCACTGTTTGAATCTAATGCCTTTTCACTTCTTTGCTTCTACTTATTGTTTTATTATATGCTATACTGTTTAGTTCTGTCTGTTTTGGGACTCTATATGAACAAAGTCATATGCAGACGCATACTGCTACTGACTTCACTGCCTCAACTTGTATGTATGTATGAACGTATCTATGTATGTATGTATGAATGTATGTATGAACGTATGTATGCGTGCATGAGTGTATATAGGTATTCATTTTTGGTACCGGGAATCAAATCCAGGACCTTGGGCTTGCAAGGCAGGCACAGCACCACGGAGTGAAATCTCTGGCCCTTCCACTCTGTATTTATGAGATTCTTCTATCTGCTATGCAAAGTTCTGGGTCACCCGTTTTCACTGGTGTACAGTATTCCCCCCATAGGAATATGCTGTGGTTTTGTTGCCCATTATTATTATTATTATTATTATTATTATTATTATTATTATTATTATCATATTTTTTTGGTACCAGGGCTTGAACTTGGGACCTTGCACTTGTGAGGCAGGTGGCGGAACCACTGAGCTAAATCCCTGGCCCCACTATTGTGTTTGATGGACATTTGTTTTTACCTTCAAGAGCTCATGTAAATGAGCTCAAAATATGTCTTTGGGAACAAATGTCACAAAGAATTTCTTAAGCATATTCACCTGGGACTGGTACTTCAGGGTAAAGTATGCCTAGGTTCAATTTTACAAGAGTGTGCAAATTGTTTTCCAATGTAATCGTATCAGTTTATGCTCCTGTAAGCAAGGGTTAAGAATATCTATTAATCCAAATATGGTTGACCTTTTGTACTGTCGGACTTTTAGGTTTTTGCCAATTTGGGAGTATAAATGACAATTTTTTTCATATTTAACAGCCATTCATGTTTCCAATTCAGTCAAATGGTTGTTCCTGTCTTTAGCCTATTATTCTATGGGTCTTTTGCTTACTCATTTGTACAATTACTTTGTATATTCTGAAAACCAATGTATGTAGTCTTCCTCCCTTTTGTGGCTTTTTACTGTTTGACAATATATTTTGATAAATCAAAGTTCTGAATTTTAGTATAGGCATCTTCATTAATGACTTTCCTTAAGATTTGCATTTTTTTGTGTCTTGCTCAAAAGCCTTCCCTATCCCACCATTGGAAAGATATTTCTCCTCTTTTGCTTCTAACTAGTGTGTAACTGTCAGCTTTGATGTGTATGTGGATGTTTTGGGATTCTGTATTCTCTTTGGGGCCAAACTGTCATGGTTACTAAAGTTTTATAATAAGTCCTGCTTACTTGGTAGCCAAAATGGAGCCCATTCTGAAAACACTTTTGGTTTTAAAAACAACATAAGGAAAATAGAAACTAGAACTTACTTTGCTCTGGGTTGATGAACTAATCCAGGAATCTCTTTATTAGTTTTAAGCCTTACATTTGAGCTGGCACTTTTTTCCTGTAACACACAAGCATATACATGGAAAAGAAAAGATCAGAATCTGAACTTAAACAGTGGCATGAGTTTTCATAACAGAAATGTTAGTTAGAGATGTATGGGGCCCTCTGACACGGCTAATTACTTGACAAAGTCAGAAGTCTTTGCAGTAATGTTACACAATAAAGATAGAACCCACAGACATTTTAACAGAGAACACTGGGAAAAGAGGAATTAGCCTTTTAACAGGCATGACTGTTCAGAAGACAATGGGCAGCTAATATATAATTGTTCAATTATAACGCAGAATCACAGAACAGAAGATTCTTGTGTCAGAGAATGAGCAGTATATTCACAGCCATTATCTACTTTCCCAAGTTAACTGACTTCAGTGATTTTATTTGTAAAGTTATTAGCAGTTACCAAGACAAAGTTTTCACAGGGCCTAGCAGTGACAAGGATGAGAACATGACTAAAAATAACTATTTTCACCTATCAACAAACACTGATTTAGGTATTGATTTAGAATGAATTAGCCCAACTTGATTTCTTATTCCTGGTACACCAGTCACATGGGAAGGAGAGACTTTCAAATCTTAAATGAAAGTAAGCTCACGATCTCAACTCTACTACTGTTCTTATGTTTTTAAAGAAATATTCAAAACTACTTTATAATTTGGCAGCAGATCTACCCCTAAAATGAAAGGAAACCCTATTCTAAACCTACTTATCAGTATGTTGAGTACTATGACATACTCAAGGAGCTTGAGGTGCGGCTGTAATTAGTGTCTATGAGGAATAAAAACTGCTGTGGGAAAACTCAATATTCTCACCCCATGTGGAGTGAAATGGAAAGAAACATAAAACAGATGGTCCTAAAATGGGCTCTTTTATGCTTATATTTCTCCTAGGACAGCAGAAGCCAGTTAAGCCGGTGAAACTCCAAGGGTGTACATACTGTGATTATTATTTACCATGCTCATATGTGCATCACATTAGTACTCTAAAAAACAAGATAATTTTGTTACATTCTTCGAGAAAAAGAATCATAGTTCTCTTGTAGTCAATCTTACCTTCCTTGTTTCACACTAAAACTGAGAATGTTGCCATGAACAATGAAGGAGTATAAGATATGCACTGTCTCTTTAGCCTATGTAGGCATGAAACAACAGATGAACTATCTTTTCCTTTACAAAACAAGTGGAAAAATTAGAAAACTCAAATGTCTTGATCCGAAAGGGCAGGGCCATGTCCTCCCTTTCCACTGAGCCGTGATGCCTGGCATGGCAGTGGCATTTCGTGGAAGGTGGTCAGCAGAGTGGAAGAACAAAGGAACAATGCCAACAAATGATTAATTTCTCTTTAGGAGTTAGAGATAAAAAATAGCTCTAATGTAGTGTCTCTGCAAGACTGAAGACAAAGGTTCCTTTCAAGGTGCTCATTTTTTCCCTTATACTGTTTGTGCTCTTAGGCTAAACACCGGAAATGGGTGTATGTATATATGACAGTACCTTATCTTTTATTCTATCCATGTAATCTCCCAAACTCTTTCCACTTAAATGATCCACCATAGTTTTCAACATTATTGAGTTATGAAAATCAATTCTAAATCTAAGAATAGAAATGGTATACAACAGTAATTTATACTCAAATCTCTTAAATTGTACTCTTCATAACTAGATTGTTTCATCAAATTTTCCTTAAAAACTTGTCCTGCAGTTAAAGATGAGTCCCTCCTAAATAACAGAGGATCAAAAGCTGAACAGGAGAGAGAACAAGTATCTTCAGATTTTCCAATTTAAAAAATATATATGGCAGTGGACCCTCAAGTTACAACTGGCCTGACATATGAACAACTTGGGTTAGCCTCCTATCTATAACGTGTACCCAGGTAAACATCATGATCTCAGCTATATTGACTTACATGCAATGTGAGTTGCCACCTGCCCTTGGGAACCAACTGAGTTTGTAAATCAAGAGTCAACTGTATAATAATAAGCTTTGCATTTATATTTATTCATTTTTACAAACTGTCACTCACCAACACCAATCACGATAACTTTCTGAGCACTTACTACATCAGGCACAATTCTAAGTAATTTACATGTATTAATTCATTTTAATGCCTACAATGCCTACAGTGCCTAAGATGGGCACCACTGTTTCCCTCTTACAGATGAGTAAGCCCAGGCATCAAGAAGTAAAGTACTTACCTGGAACTACACAAGTAATGCTGTATGTAGTAATACTGGGATTTGAACCCAAGCAGTTTGGCTCTAGAGTCCATGCTATTAGCTACCAGGCCAGCAATTTTTAAACTTTTTTGTATCAAGACTTTTTTACCTATATTTTTCAAATTTTGACCAATTTTATTATATGGTATGAAAAAAAATCACACTTGTTGAAATTCCCATTTATCTCCTCAGAAAACTCTGTTTTTCAGTAAAGGGGGTTGAATCTGAGCCTCCTATTGCTGCCTACACAAGTGCACTAACATTGAGCAATATTCCTAGCCCTTTAACAAATTTATATATTTTAAATTTTGAGATAGGAACTCGTTAAATTGCCCAGCCTGGGCTTGAACATGCAATCTTCCTAATTCAGTCACCCAAGTAGCTGGGACTATAGATACTACCACCAGGCCCAAATGCAACATAAATCTCTTATTTGATACTGACGAGCTCACAGTGGTAGGTACAAAGTTTTCCAAAATTCTAGTTTTTGGTTAAAAGTTTGGATTTCATCACTGGAAATACAACTTCTGAATTACGTTCCTTGAAGTGACAGGTTTCCTTCATTGTCTTTAAAGAAAATAGTTTGCCAAATTCCCAGGTCTGAACCCACAATTTATCTGCCAGGTAGTTTTTAAAAAGTAGAAATAGTATACCATTAAAAAAAAAAAAAGAATTTGTAGTTCAGCTCGCAATTCAATCAACTCAACTGTGAAAGTACTTTTCTTTGTGATAATCATCTCACTTGGGTGTGCAGAAGAAATGCTTTATGCATAATTAATTTTACACCCTAGACTATTAAAAAGATGTGCATCTAAACCACAAGATTTAATAAAATTAAATAATTTGTGTTTCATCAAAGGAACTCTTAAGGGAAAACACAATTAACTTTTCTACTATGAGTGCAAGGTGGGAGAGTGAATATAATGACTACTGTTTTATTCTCTTTTCTGTTGCTATAACAAAAGACTTGAGGCTGAGTAATTTGTAAAGATAGGTTTATTTAGATCAGTTTTGGAGGCTCAGGGTCTAAAATCAGTGGCCCTATCTGTTCAGTCTCTGGTGAGGGCCCCATCAAGTGCATCACAATATGGTAAAGAAATGGAAAGGGAAATTACACCGTTCAGAAGAGGCCAAGCATGTGGGGCGGTCTTATGTTGTAACTACCCACTCCGGAGAGAATTAATGAGCTCCATGAGACCAGCATCAATCCCTTTGGAGGACAGTGTCCCTAGAACTTAATTATTTCTTCCCTCACACCAGGCCTCACCACTTCAAGGTTCTATCACCTCTTAAAACTGGTGCACTGAGGGCCAAGCCTCTGGGTCATGAAGCTTTGTGGAATTTTAGAGAATACTATTAGGGTCTCATGCCATTGCCCTGATTTAGACTAAGGCATCTGAATTCCTATCTGTTGTTGCTCTTACAAATCAGTGTAAATGTTAATATAGTGAAAAAGGAAAACAAATGGGTCATCAGTGTTACTGGGAAAATATCTTGAGAATTTCCTAGGAGTCTGCATACCACACCGAACACAATGCCCCCCTACTTCTACAGGGAAAAAAAAATCAATTATTTAATTATGCTATCTACCTTTCTTTAAAAAAATCAACAACCTTATTGAGGTAAAATTCGATAGAGTTCTCCCCATTATAAATGTATGATGAAATGATTCTAGGACATGTAAAGAACTGTGTGATCATCACCACAATCCAGGTTTAACATAGTTCCATCATTCCAAAAAGGTTTCCTTATAACAATCTGCAGTTAATCCCTGTTCTCAACCAGAGACCCAGGCAACCACACAACTGCTTTCTGCCTTGACAAATTTGCATTTTCTAGATTCATATAAACGGAGTCAAGTCATACAATGTGTAGCCTTTGTGTTTGGCGTTTTTCACTTTGCATAGTCTTTCTGAGGCTCATCCAGGTGGTAGAGTCCTCTCCTAGCATGTGTGTATGTATGAGGCCCTGGGTTCAATCCTCAGTACAAAAAACAGTTTTTGAGTTTTTGTTGCAGAGAAAAGATACTTCCATACTTAGGACTTTCCCATTTATCTTTCCATGCAGTGGTTTTTGAACCAAGCCCTGGAGTTCTACAGAGCTGCTTTGGGCTTCATCATTTGAAAAATATGTCCATTTTTAAAAAATGTTGGGCAACTACAGTCAGGTAGTGAGTGGTAGGCTTAACAAAGTTCTCCTCTGGAATAATCTGATTTCTTTATGAACTTAATACACTTGATATGTCAGAGTGAACTTACTGTTCCTGTTTTAATTTATTTGATGCTGAAGACAGTCAAACTGATTGTATTTATGTTGCTGTCAAGAGCTCTCCACTCCTCCCTTGTCATCTCCCAAAGGGAAATGAAGATATCAAGGAGGGATCCTCAGTTCCCTTAAAAATTCTCTTACCTCCTTAATTGTACACAAGGCAGCACCTTATTTACAGCTCAGGACGCTGATAGGAAGCACCCTCCCTGTGGGTGAGGGATGGAACATCTTTTTTCTTATCACTTCTTTCCTTTTATTTTTAAAAATTTTAATTTTTATTGGTACATGTTTGCAGAAAATAATGATTACAGTCATCATGAGGAGCTGGTACATGTACATAACACATCGTATCCCTGTCTGCTTCCTGCCTTCTTCCCTCCCCCCATCTCTTGGTACCCTTCCCATGTGCAAAAGATTTATTTCCGCATTTCTTATTATCTCCTATCATTTCTTTGCTTCTTTTGTCCCAGGCTGAGGGGATATGTGCAACTGCAGTTCTATAAGCTTCCCTTTTCTAGT